CTCAGGCCCCTTTTGAGGATATTTCTACTGCTGCCATCCTCCTCACTGAATACCACCATGGCATCTCCCATGCTCTGTGGCCTCTCACATCTAACGTACCTTCTCATCACACTGCTGTAGTCATCCAGCTAGTGGTGTCTTTGTTATGGAGGCTCTCAGATAAACAACCAACTACCAAAAATTAAAAATGTATTATCAACACAATTAACTAGCCCTCCGCAAGTTACAGGTTCGAATGTCTGTGAGAGGAGAACAGAACAACTTCGTAGGGTTTAATGACAACCCGAAATGCAGAACAAAGCATAACCCCTGACGGTTTAATGACAACCCAGAAGGCTCTGTCACTCACCTGACAAGTGAGGGCTCTCACCCTCGAGGACCTGCTCAGGGCAGCGTCCCAACCCAAGGAACCTTGAGGAGTTTCCTTGGGCAGCGTCCTGACCCAAGGGGAGAGTCCTCAACTGCAGCTGCTGCTCCAGGGGACGAGCTCCAAATGGCTCCCAGGGGACTCCATTGATCCCCAGGCCCAGTCTGACCTGCAGTCAATAGCGGGTCCCATTGGCTGAAGGCCCCAACTACTGTGAAGCCCCGAGAGCAAAGGCAATCGGGAGCTGCTACACTTCAGCAGCCAAGAAGCCCTGTTTTCTTTGGGCGGGTGCACCTGCCTCAGTCTTTCATGTCAGGCTGAGTGGAAAAAGGAGTATTGGGTATGTACATGAGATGCGGCTCGGCTACAGGGCAAATCCAGATGAGAGCTAAATGTGCCAGTTTTACGCTCAGTGCCTGAGATTAGACAAGCTTGCCTGTCACTGCCTCTGGCCGAGTTCTGAAAAACTAAAACACTTCTGCTACTTCCCAGGACAAAAGTAGGGGAGACACACGATTTTCTCATTAAAAAAGCTTAAACACTGCCCTCCTCCTCCCCTCTTCTTTCAGTATAGTGTTTTCCCTACATTTAGACTACCAAATTTGGCAGGAGATGATCTTTGTCCCAGAGAAAACAGCTGAGTTTACAGCAAAGACATGTGTATAATAAATACCTTTTAATGCCAATGGGCCAGTATTTGTTGTGCCATTTTAAAGATGTGTTTTAGATCTTCTATGTATTTTAAACATAGAAAGATAACACCTTCTCAAGGTAGGCTGCAAAGCTGCAATGGCAATGAAATAAAGACTGTGTAGATAAATATAGGACATGGTTTCAAAAACAAAACTCTGGGGGCAATTCCTAGAGAGTAGTCTAACACTTCTTGAAGTCCTCTGACATTTCTTGCATTGTTAACATATCCCAGAACGTATCATGGTAATACCACAACCACCTTGAGATCTGCTGCTCGTCTTCACCACTATCAAAGCAACCAAGTTTGTGCCCAAGTGGCTTGGTGAGACAGAAGGAGCATAGCAAGCAAGATCATACAGTTTAGCTACCTCCCAAGGCATGGTGGCACAAAGCTAAGGGAAAGACAGTCACACAACAGACCGGCAGCATACTCAGGGGCATCAAGTAATATGACTCTTCTCACACCCCTCCAGTTGTGTAAGCACAACTCCAGCACCTCACATATTCTGCAATTTACTGGTGGCCAGAATGCCAAGAAACAGTGAGATTACCGACACCGAGGAAGCAGATGAGCTACTTAAGTATAAAACATGGTTAACAGCTACAGCAACTCTGGACATCAAATAAAAATTGAGAGAAGCATCAAGTACATTTGAGCTTCGTTTCAAGGGATGCCTAGAGGTCATTTGTCCTTTGGGTTCATCTTACTATCTTTGTCTCCTCTGAAAAGCTAGGACCTCCAGGTCACCTGGGGTTTAGAACCACTAACAAAGGACATACTTTATGATCCTTCCTCACTTCTGGTCCATTGCTTGCCTTTGTTACTGCAATTCCATACTTTCAATCTCCTCTCTGCATCAGTGAGAGTAGAAAGGTATTTCTGGGGGAAAAAAAAAAAAAAAAAAAGAAAAAAAAAAGAGTAGTTTCAAAAAACCTTAAAGTTCTAATATGTTTGTTCCCAGGATCCAACAGGTTTGTCAGATGACAAATGTGTTTAAACTCAATTATAGAAGACTGCAGTGGAAGGTCACCCTTAACAGATACTGGGGACACATTAAGACTATTTCAGGAACAGCTGTGTAAAGAACTCAGTGTCAAAGACCTCTGTCCCCCTAATAAGTTTCAAAACCTCAGTCAAATTTACAAGGAAGATATTGAGACCAACAGGCAGGCAGATTTACTTACATTGACACAGACACAGTGGCAGAGCAGGCTTCCCTTCCTAAGGAAACAAGCTAAAGATGTGAAAATAACATACATACCAAAATCACACCCATAGTCACTTCACTTTTACACATCTTTCCTTCCCTTACTTCTGATCTTTATTTTATCTGTGCAGAGGGTAAACTCTTGCAAACTCTTCAGGACAGATATTATCTAGACACAGAGGGAAAATGGGCTGACTGATGCCTCTGCCTTGAAGATCTTTAGCTGTGGATGCCATGGCTTTGTGTTCCTGGTTAATATTAAACTTGTAACACAGCTGCAGCTAACATGAGATTCTGGATTCTTCAGCCAGAGAAAATTCCCATTAGTCATGAAAAATTTAGTTCAAATAAGCAATACAAGATTGGACCATTATTAAACCTTTTTTCAAGCTAAAGTAATTACGAGATAAATAAATTGTGTTATTGAAAAAAAAAAAAAGTCCCCAGTGTTTTCAGAAAGGATGGATTTTATTTTGTAATTGCCTTTTTGCAGAAAATCATTAAAAGACTAAACAGGAAAAATACTTGTTATTTTTGGCAAACTAAGTTTGCATGTGTTTTATTTACTTTGAACAGGAACATTTTTACTGAAACACCAGATAGAACCAGCCATTCTAGAAAGCTGGAAACATAATTAACTAAAAACAAACAGCGTCAACCATATTATTTTGCCTTCCATATGTACTTACACAGTTACTATATATGTTTTTAACTCACAGTCCGATACATAAACACATATGTTATGCAAAAGCACCCACAACACAAACAGGTATGTAAAGCTCTATTTCCACTGCATTAGCATGTGTAAGTTGTGCACCAGACAACAGATGACGTTTGACTCGGGTGACTAGTGGCTTCCACCTTTCACCTTTATAATACGTTCTATTCCTTTACAGAGTTGTGAACATCAGTGATCTCCTGCATCAGCTTAAAACTTTTTTTTTTTTTTTTTTTGTTAAGTAAAGTTTGGATGCATTGCTTTCCAGGGAGCTGCCTTTTTGCTTATTTGTGTTTCTAGCTTTACAGGGGCTTAGTTCCCTTGGGTGTAGTTTACACTCAAGTACTGCATTCAAGAGGCAAAAGGACCTTAAAGTGGACATAAATTACACTGGGCTGAGTACAAGACTCAGCTGATGTAGTTTAAACATTTGAATCCTTCCTGAAATCCTACTGGCACATCTGGGTTTTCTAAACACAGGCTGGGGAGGAGTTGAGGAATTAACCATAACCTTGGGAGACCAGTGTGCTGAGACTCCATCTAGAGTCTGTGGAAAAACATTGGTTCCAAAATTAGCCTCCTTGCAGAATCTGCTTTTCTTTGTTGGCTGCAAAGATGCTTATGGAGACCAGCCTTGCTATTCTGGAGTTAATCTTTCTGAATGTTTCCTCAGAACTTTTTCATAATCTCTTTAAAATGACGCTAAGCACCCAATACTGACCTGTGCCCCACCCAATCTTGTGCTGACTTCCATAAGCTTTGGATCGAACTTAATGTCCATCTCTCAGAGCTACTGCATGGAAAGCTTGCTTTTAAGTAATGCTTGTGCATAGCACTGCATGTTCATTCTGTGTAGGGAATGAAGCTTTCTCCTCACAGTTATCACCAATGCACTCAACAGTATGAACACACTGGAAAAACATTCTGTACCTGTCTACAGAAAAATGCATTCACACCAGAGCTTAAAAATAGAAATTAGCTGTTATTTTAATGTTTAACCTCCATTTTAGAGTTCTAGATTCCAAAAATTCTTGTTTCAATTCAGACCAAGTCAAAGGAGAGTACATTTGGAAGCACAGACTATAAATACTTCCACAGCAGAGTTGGATTTGCCCACAGACTATAAGCACTGGTAAACTCATGATAGCAAGATCGGTTGTTGTACCATCACTTTGAAACTAATCATTTAAATCTGCACTTCTGTTTACCCAGTTGTACTCAAAATTTCCCCAAAAATTTCCCCCAAAAAACCAATATGATAGCTAAGCTATGTCAGTATTTGGCACACTTTTTTTAAGAACACAAAAACCTGGTTTTGGTAATTATCAGGAGTGAGGCTCTTTTATCTAAATGGTAAACTACCTGGAAGAAATAGTCTGGAAAAGGTGAATCTTACCACTTAAAACTTCATGAAGTGTTGTTTGCAAAGCTTCTCTACTGTACCACATAGAGTAAGACCATTGCCACCACTGCACCAGGCCAGCTGAGAGTTTGTCTAGCCAAGCCTTGAAGATATCTAAGGACAGAGGTACTGAGCACAGTCTTAGCGTTGCTCTGCTCTTTCTACACCACTAACAGAAAATGCTTCCGTTGATTCACTTGTGGTTCATAATGCTTCTCCGTCTCAAGCAAGTCCTGTGTACTGGAATAGATTGAGTAAAATCATTGTACAATTATACAAAATGCCACACCTGAAGAGCAAGTGGAGATGACCTCCCAGCTTTTACGGACTAGATGCTAACTTTGACACCTTTCCGCTTTTGCTCCAACCTCCACTGGGACTCTGGTTTGTGCTGGCATGTAGCATGATGTCTGCAGGGCTTCCCCTAATGACTGGTGGAGACAATGAAAGTCTCCCTACTGCATTTGCTCGCTTTTGGGTTTGTGTTTGTTTTGCTTCTGGAACTAAAATGTTGATTATCATTGCTGATCCAAGACCAATATCCCAGGTTGCTAAAGTAAACAATACACCAGCTCAGCTTCTTAAATTCTATCTTTTTTCACCTTCCCCTAGGTTGGAAAAATTCACAAGAACACTGCCCGCAAAAGGGAATACCATGTACTGTTCATGGTGATCACTACAGTTATCTGTTATCTCGTGTGCTGGATTCCCTATGGAGTTATAGCATTACTTGCAACGTTTGGTAAGCCAGGTGTGGTGACTCCAGTTGCAAGCATCATACCTTCCATCCTAGCAAAAAGCAGCACTGTTTGCAATCCCATTATCTACATACTAATGAATAAGCAGGTAAGACATATATTATTTTAAAAATGTATTTTCTTCAGGATCTATCAGACTTTCTTGACCACTGTGACCACAGTCTCATAGATGTGTCTTTACGAGAAGGACATTCAAGACTTGGCCAAACAATATTACTGGAGTCATGGGGTGGAAGTCTTTGCAATCAACAATATATTGCTAGGTAGGAAGAATAGATAAACATTTGCTTACTGAAAGTGCTTGTGTTCTTTGAAGGCACACTGAGTGTTATTTTGTATGCTGCAGAGTTAGTTGCCAAAGGTATTGGCATCTATTTACAGGAAGAATGTTCAAACATTTGAGGGTTGAGGGGGTGAGGAAAGAGAGACAAGAAGAGGAAGGAAATTCATGACCTTGAAAACGATGTAAAGGAGGAGACAATTTGCAAATACCATTTTCATGACAGATTCCTGAAAACAAATGATCATTGCAATTACAGTTTTTGTGGACTTCTGCATCCTTCCTGTTAAATTCCCAGTTCAGCTACATGTAAAAATAGATAATAAATTTTGTCCCATGAGGACCAAGACCAATTCTAGCAGTTCTAAAATGCCTAGATCTATTTCAGGTCCCTTGTTCCTGTTAACAGCATTTTCAGTACACAGAAACGAACTTCCTAAAGTTTCTGTATTGGCAACTTTGACTCTAGAGTTTGGAAATGCAGATCTGGAAATTTTAAAAGTGTTTTGCAGTAAGAAATTTGGCAAATATGCATATTTTATTAAAACATCCCTTTTTTATGTGTTAGACGTTGTTCTCAATTTCCTTTCTTCATTATGTCCTTTACACTATTATAAAGCACATAAACTCCCTTTATCCTTTCTTGCTCAGTGTATGCCTGGAGACTACCCTTTGTATTTATCAACAGCAGCATTATAATATTATGGGGCCTAGACAAGGGAAAAGTTGAATGTAACAGGCAAATATATTCCAATTTTGCCTCAGCCAGAGATTGTTCTTGGTCTGGTTCATCATGTAACCTAAAATTCTTAAACAAGGATTGAATCTACTGCTGGAGTCTGAGAGAAAGATCTCATACAAGCCATGAAACCACCCTTAAACGAGAAGGAAAAAGTACTACTGCCTTCCTCAATACCAGGACTTAATTTCCAAAGTCCAGTTTGAGCTGATCTTGAAAAAGTGAGAGAGCTCCACTTGGAAAGTGCTAATGCTGAAAGAAAATAGTAACTTTTTCTCTTTCCCCTTACCTTTTACAATTGCTATGGAAACTTCTCAACAGCAGCATCTGTCTTGCTTCTTTATTCTCTGAGCACTTTGACTGAGGTCCTTGACTTCATGAGATCATCTGACTGTGCTGTGATCCCTGGAGCAATCTGTAACATAACAGTAATTGCAAGTACATTTTGGCATTGTCTTTACACATGGAGCACATCCCAAATAGCAAGAGTGTGGAAGCTAGGGAAGAGATTTGGATTATAAAACACATGAACTCAGTACAGAGCCTTGGGTGCCTCCATATGTCTTGAGAACAGAATCATGCACAATTACCTGTGCTGACAACCTGGCAATCTGTATATCCACAGATATACACACAATTAACTCTGGTTTTATATTCTCAAAGTGCTCCAAGCAGTTATTGAGAACTGTGTATTCTTCAGCATCAGGAGCTTATGAGACAGTCACGCTGCTGTGGATGTGCTGGGCAAAAAGCAAAACGCTCACTGTTGAGAAAAAGTTGATTAGCAAGAATAAAACCAGGCTGCTTGCACATCGCAGGCATGTACCAAGCCATCTAAAATCACTCTTTCCTTGCAGTAGCTGCCTCTCTCAGCTACAAAGGAAATATTTCCGAATGCTTAGTTGTTTCTCAATATGGAGTTTACTTTTGATCCAGTTTATCATCTCTTATAAGGAAAGATTGGTGTGGGATGATCTCTGTACAAGGGCAAGATCTGTTAGGACAGATTTGAGGCAATGCAGACTGTTTCTTCGCAGCAGGAACTGGAAAGGCTGTGCAACAATTTGGGGGCACCATGGCAGGGACCTGGAAACAATTTCTTAAATATCCCTCCTTAGTCTTCAGTCACATGCGAGACTTATGTATTAGATTTCTCTCTTTGAACACTGAGAATGTTTCATTTGTTTCCCACTGCCTACTGTTCCATAGCTGCCTCCATTTAACAAAAAAAAAAAAAAAAATGCAACTGGGCAAAGTCAAATCAGTCTTGGAGGATGGATCATTAGTTGCCAGCTGGAAGTCACTGTATGGGTTGGGGTTTTTTCATAGTTAGCTTTCTTATTGTTGCAGAAGTCAAGACAAAAATCACTCCTGAAAAGGAGCTCAGTCAGATTTGGGGTAAATACTTCTTACTGTAATAAAACCAAAATAATGGCTAATGCCTAGCATTAATCTGCAGCTCTCATCTACTGTGCCACTGTGTATTAGAGGTAAAAAGAATTGGTTTTATCTGACACCAAAGAATGAGATTCACTCAAAAAGGGTGAAACAGATCTCTCTGTGTGTTCCCCTTCCTTTCAGAACAGGAACAATAGTAAGACCCTCATCTGATGCCTCACCAGTGTTCATGTCACCTCAACTACCCTGTAGTTGTTCCCATCCTTTTTCTGTAAATTTAACACCTCAGGAAAAGCTGTCTTCTTCCTGGCACTCAGCTTTTCTGGGCTTCTTTCTTAGCTGAGAACTGTCCCAGGAGTCTGGTGCCTCCCAACCTAGAAATTATCTGGCCTGCATTTTTCACAGTCCCCTCTTTTGGGATGTGAGATGTTATTTACTCCTGCGTCGTATAAATACACTGAGAACACATAGCTTAATTTTTAGTTCTCTGTGCATGAGCTAACTTTTTTGCTTTGGAACATGCCCTGAAAATTGCAAAACAGCATTGGTTGACTGCAGCTGTGATGTTAGCTTCTGGCTATCATAAATCAGTGTGGAATATCATGGAATGATCAGAATCTGAGTCAGCCTTAAAACTTAACCTGCAGAGCTCCCCTTTAAATTAACTCTAAAACAGGCCCTGAGTCACTTCTGTGGTCCAGGAACCCCAGAGAAAAGTTTTATCTTTCCTATTACCTTCTGCACTGACCTGAGGCAATAAAACAATGAGGAAAATGGTGAATTTCTTTCCAGCTGCAGGGATTCCCTCAGGTGTGATGGCTTGGGGCATGCTGCTCTCCTTATTCTACTCTCCTCCAGGAGAAGAGAGATGCACCACTTAAGCTGGACTGTTACTGGAATGATAACATCACCCCAGGCAGACATTAAGCTTCCTTGACAAAGCTGTAAAGTACTGCCTGAGACCAAGTGACGTTTGGAGGGAAACTGGAGGAAACAGTAAAGAAGGAGGTTCTGGTTTCCCTGATCTCTCACTATGAACGGCTCTTTTGCCCCTTGGAAACATGGCTGTGTGTGCCTGGGGCAACCCTCTCAGAGGGGCAAACCCCCAAAAATGCATCACACAGTACCATGCCAGCTGGGCTGGCACTAGCCCCCAGTTACCAGAGCAAGCTGGGCAGCATCAGCATGCTTAGACTTTCAATGTATCAGTCCTTTATAGTTCTAGAGTTACTGTAACTATGCAGATTTTCTGTTTCATCTTCTCTAACCTCTGTCTTTTATTCCCGTCACAGCTCCCTGTCAAGTCCACATTGTCTCTTTTCAAACTTCGACCCATGCAGCCACTCCAAACAAATTTTTTAATGACAGCTTGAACTACCTTCCTTTTACCGTGGTAATGCTGACAGAAATCTGCTCTTTCAAGTGTAACATGCAAGCAGGCTTTAAGCATTCAACCAAGAGATGTGGAACTTCCCTGTAGACGTGGGCTGGTCTCACTGTACATGAGGACATACTGCACTGAGAACCAGGGATCATTAGCTGGATAACATCATGGTGTGGCAGCTTTTGAGGTTAGCCTTATCTTATGAATCAGAAGTTAATTTTTTATCGATACAGAAGTCAAGATATGAATAATTTGAGAGACTATGGTTATGGATGAGACAACAGCGAGATTGAGTGAATCTGCACTCGCTATTTCATATAATTTCAAGTTAGCACTCAGAGAAAATAGGAATTTGCTGCATTGCTACCAACGGCCAAATTTAAGTCAAGTTAAACCTGCATCACTCAAAGATACATAGACCAAATCGCTTAGAAGCAGCCGCTCAGCAGATTATAAATCACAGCCTTTGTTGCTGTGAAATAGCCTTGTTCAACTATAGCTCATGGGCTTTCAACTAATTACCTCTACACATTTAGTCATTCACATAGCTCATCTAAGGCTCCTGTACTACTGAAACTCAAGCTAGCACATCTAATAATGTTTCACATGTTACAATTGGAAAAAAAGTCCACCCAAACCTTGTGATCAGCAATGTGCTATTTCTGGTGTCAGAAAGTGCCTCTGAGCAAAAGTAAGGAAGGAGAGTGTGAGGGAAGGGATGTATTAGATGTAAGTAAAATTCCCTGATTAGCATTTTGATTTCTGCTCTCTGTCTTCTTGTGTTAAAATTATTCCACTTTTAAAAATAGAAGCCGACCCTGTCACTTTCCCCAAGGATTTGGAGAAGTGACAGGGTCGGCTTCTATTTTTAAAAGTGGAATAATTTTAACACAAGAAGACAGAGAGCAGAAATCAAAATGCTAATCAGGGAATTTTACTTACATCTAATACATCCCTTCCCTCACACTCTCCTTCCTTACTTTTGCTCAGAGGCACTTTCTGACACCAGAAATAGCACATTGCTGATCACAAGGTTTGGGTGGACTTTTTTTCCAATTGTAACATGTGAAACATTATTAGATGTGCTAGCTTGAGTTTCAGTAGTACAGGAGCCTTAGATGAGCTATGTGAATGACTAAATGTGTAGAGGTAATTAGTTGAAAGCCCATGAGCTATAGTTGAACAAGGCTATTTCACAGCAACAAAGGCTGTGATTTATAATCTGCTGAGCGGCTGCTTCTAAGCGATTTGGTCTATATATCTTTGAGTGATGCAGGTTTAACTTGA